CATTTTTTTCTGTTTTATATAGATGGGAAACAGTTTCCAAGCAGACTTTAAGCTTGATGAGAATAAATAAAAATGTTACTTAACTTATATCGGTTTTTGGATTATATGATGCATAAAATCATTTAATTAATGCGAATTGTTGATACTTTTACCCTTTGTTTGTAATAAGTGGCAGATATATGTGGAAGATATATGATGCAACAACGTTGCTGCTCCTGTAGCTATTTGAAGCAGCATCTCGGCTAAAATAAGTAAGTCTGTTTTTACTGAATTATTAATTTCTTGATAACAGCAGTAAATCTTTAAAGCGATTGTGAGATAATACAGAGGTTTAGTAATATGAATTATTTTATATTGAACAGTAATAAATCTTCACCGTTAAGACTAAAATTGCAATCAAATTAACATAGATTGAAATTAAAGCCACCAAATAAAATTTATAACTACTGTAGGGCCAGAAAAAAAGTGTTTTAAAAATGACTCCAATCCAGTACACATTTTTAGAAATAAAATCCTCCAATTGAGAAGCAGTTTCCATGCCTTCCATTTGTGCGAAAATTATTCAAAAATATTGACTACTTATAATAATGAATATTATTGAATATACTTTTTTTCAAGTACAATAATTTTATTTAAGAATTATAATAATAACAGTAGCTTATATTCTATAAAATATGGTAGCTAAAAACCCCATTCTACCTATAGACTTGAATTTTATTTTCACTAGGCCTTATTAAGTTTGCAAGAAAATAACAATTTTTTTCGTAAAATTCGATGATTTTCGTTCTTGAATTTCGCTCTACATTCATGAAAAAAATCAATAATAATGGGAACTTACGAAATGTATTAAATATTAAACCATCGCAAATAATAAATGAATAGTATTATAGGTATTGTTGAACTTTCCAGGGCATTGAATGACCGTCCTCTAGTTTTCATCAATTATACAAACAATGTCTTTTGAATTCTACTAAAGTTTTACGACTGAAGAAATTGTAAGAACTACGATTATTCGGATAGAAGAATATTTATATTTATATTTATATTTATATTTATATTTATAATTTAAAATAATGCTATACATTATTGTCAACGAGTATAAAATGATAAAGGTTAATGGCCAGTAGAGAGCTTAAATGTTTCTATATTTCTATTCATACTACTAGGCTAAAAAAATGAAAAAAATTTTTTTAGTAAACAGGCAACAGTCTTTTTCGACCTTGGTCTTCTGAACAAATTGAGACCATGTACCTAAAACTCAAATGAAATTTTACAGAATATTATGTTCCAAATCTACTTGCCTTCGGTTAGTGCTGCAACCCCCTCGTTTTGCAGAAAAATTATATCCCCACCTTTTGCATAAAGTACTATTACGATAAATATAATGAAAGTTTTGAACATGTAATAAACGTTATACTCTCGTGAAAATGTTTTCACTAAAAATTGTACGATGTATTCATTTGATATGTTAATTTTAGTTGTACCAAAAATAAAATAATCGCGATAGGTTTATTCTGATTCAAACGAAAGTTTACTTTATTTATAAATGTAAGAGTTACCTTTGATTTGAAAAGAAATGTTTTCGGGTATACCTAATCGATTTTCTTTTATGACATCAACGTTCCCGTTCATTTATTCGGCGAGGCAGATTTACAAAAACGTGTTTTTACCACTGCAGTACATGGTTTGTTGAGAGCCTTCGTTGAAAAAAATCTGGCTAAGTATAAAAATAAATTATAAAAAAATTATTTAAAGAAAAAATTTTGGTCAAAATAAAATTATTTGAAAAAAAAACTGTTTACAAATAATAAATACTTTATACATTTTTTTTCTTTTTTTTATAAAAAATTCATGTAAGTAACAATGTCATTGTTAAAATATGAAACCGCTGCCAATTCATTGGCAAAGAGCTTCCATATGAACAATTCTATTATTGAAAGGGTTTGGCTAAAAATATTTTAGGAAAAATAGTTTGGGAAAATATACGACCTTTTTATGTTCGTATACGAAACTCCAAATAAACCTAGAGATCAAAATTTCTTACATCGTAATAATAATAATAATATTTATTGGCCTTTCAATTACAAACTCCTTTTTTAAGAGATACATGTAAAAACCTGAAGATAGAGAACATTTCTCTCTGTGCACAGAAGCCAGCTTCTCAAAAAGTGAGTACTCTGCATTTTTGCAATCTTCGATCGATCATTGATTCATTTTTATTATTATTTCTCCGTTTCAGATTAGTATCAGGCTTGCAAGGGACCATGCGTTTGGCACCGAAACCGAACGAGTCAATCATATAGGCGAGTTAAGAAACTTTGTGAAGGCTCACGCGTTGTACTGGCCATCTATATTTTTGACTGAAAAGGCAAATCCGAAGCAGTGGACAGAAATTCTACTATCAGAAAAGATGAAAGATTCTGATAAAGACTTGACTGGGAATGTAAAAAGTCGTCAGAATCTCAATCAATATTCCGACAAAAAGCTTCCAACAACTATCGCTGTCGAAGATGTGGAGCTCGAAAACATCGTCGACATTCACAAACCGGTGCGAATTGTCGTTTCAAATGGAAACAAAGAGTTTATGTTTCGAAAAAAAGAAATGGTATTACGAGAAAAAGAAATAAAATTAAGGGAACTCGAAATGAAAATGAAGATCCACGAGCGAGGTTTGGATAATTGGCCGGAGGACGTAAGAAGAGCGTACGAGGAGTTCCAAAACATTGATGGCACGTACCAGCAAATCGATCCTAAACCATCGAACCAACTTAAACGAATAAATCCGTTTTTGCGACGGACACAGGATCAGAGTGCAACGATTACAGAGATACCATCAATACTAAACCCAACGAATGAAACGAGGTTAAATTTTTTCACGCTTTCATCCAAGATTTTCAAAATTTTATTCAATTATTTTAATTCTTTTTTTTAACTAGACAATCAAGCATTCTGCAGTCAGGCGAAAAAGTAAGAGCATCGGTGAGTGAAGATTTAAATTTTTCATGCCCGTCACCAATTTTGGCTTACACAACGAGTCCACAAACACCATCACCGCAAAGAAAGAAACAGCGATCAACAAGCTCCACCCAAATGCGTCCACGAACACCGAAACCACCAAAAAAGAAGCAGCGACAAATTAAGTAAATTAATTGTAATAATAAATTTGTATAATTAATTAAAAAATGTAGTTTACTTGGGTTACTTAAGTTTCTTGGTTAATTTGACAAAAATTGAATATAGTAATTTCACTCGAGAATTTTTTTTTCTTAGTATACAAAGTTGGATGAATGGCACAAAAAAGCCGTTGCGATTCAAAAGGAATTGAAAAGCAAAGCTCCCCTTCAAGTTAAAAAAAAAATTGATTATTACTTTATTTACGCTATAAAAAGTTTCTCCTAATTTCCCCGAATATGACAGGTTCAATTTACAGGCATCAAAGAATTCGCGAAAACGTTCGAGAGGAGGAAATTTTAGCCAACGAGAGAAGTGTATTCTTCAGGCTCTGTAGACACACTTCCATAAAACAAAAATAACTAACTGGTCGCTAATAACGAATAATGAAATAATCGGTGATGAAACGACCATGAAAGTGGAAGATAAATCACCAAATGGTTATGGCGATTTAAATATTTCCAATTCTAAAAAAGATGATGTTTTTATGAAAGAAAACATATGTAAAATCAATGAACTTCTACTTGGAATTGAAAAAATCGAAAAATTAGATCAAGAAAATCATGTTATCATGAAGAAACCTTCATCTGCAAAAAGAGATTGGGAAATTTATGCCTTCTTGGAAAAATGATGAGAAATATAAAAAGTGGCTAGAAGACGTGAAAGATAACCTTCATCAAGTTCATTAGTTGGAATCTTATCTTTCTTTAGTAACTTGTTTAAAAAATTTGTTCGAGATTTATAAGTTCAGTCTTCTTTTTATATTACATTGGGCTAAGTTTTATTACTTGCGAGTTCTTACTACGCCACCTAGGAATAAGTTCCATACTACTGATCGAAAAGAGAGCATTGAGTATTTCACGTGTGTCTCGGGACATACTATTGTGAGTTAATATATAAACTGGAATAGAACGTCACTACTAGGAAGTGAAAACTCTGCAACAAAAATATAACAAAAAATTTCAATAATTATTGAATTAATCTTAATCAGGCATAATAATTTAAATAAAAGTAAAATCATTCAAAAACTAAAGTCTATCGCCAACAAGTAATAACTATAAATGATTGAAAAAAGGGTTTAGAAAATTTAGGGAAAAAATATTAAAATTAGTTTAGATCCCTTCAATATAATGTGAAATTAGAAAACTTTTCCATGTTTTTTTGTTTGGCCCCACTATTCGACTCATCGGTGTGCACAAAAGAAGTTCAAATGGTAAATCTTAGATTTAGTTTGTCATGCCCAAGCCCAATCGAGAATCGCTATAAAAAACGCGACAAATCTCTGCGCGCAAGCTTTTTACTCGGCGACGAATTCCTAACTCTTCGAGTGAAATTTAATCACCGCTTTCTTGAGTAGCAGGTATGTAAAAAAAAAAAACAAGCAAAAGTCGATGCGATACTCGCCGTACTATTATTTCAAATAGTTTTAAATAGTAAAAGGCGGCGGTGTGCGTGAGGTCGTCGACCACACACACTTGCGAAGCGATGAGATCGTGCGAACTCGCGCTAAAAATGGAATTGGTTCGCGCGTTATGCGCCGTTCTCCTTTTCCTTCCTCTTCTTCGGGGACTCGCGGAATTAAAAAAAAAAAAAAAGAAGAAAAAAGGAAGAAGACTCGAATCGAGGGCAAACTACATCGCGAGAGTAAATCATCGAAAAAGTAAGATGAGCGGCGCGGGGAGAGGGAAGTAGACTTTTTTTTTTAACAAGTATATCTTCGGCGAGTCTTTTGCGCGAGACTGTCGCATGCGCTGTCATGTATACATATGCCCCCGTACATACCCACACCTATATATACACAGTCCAGCATAATAATAACACGTATAAAGTCGCGCGGAGTAGAGCCGAGCGTCGGCAGCAGCGACACACGCCGCGGCGCACGCATACCTCGCGCGACTTTTTGCAGCACCTCTACAGTAATATACACAGTCACACACACGCAGCAGAGCAGCAGCAGCAGCAGCAGCTCCGCTCCAACCATGATATACCTGCGCCGCTGTACTGTGCACCTGTAATAACATATATCTTGTAAAAGTTTCTCGGAGCTGCGCGAGATGAGCAGCCTCGTCGTCGTTGCTCCTGCTGTTGCTGTCTGCTCGGCCGACCCATCGTCGTCATCGTCATCAACGCTAAGCGACGATTTTCCAGCAGTGCCGCCGCGACGATAACGACGCGACAATACACAGTGAATTACAACAGCTCGCATTGCCCCCAGGTGTAACTCCACATATATACATACGCACGTATCTGTATAAGTGTCTGTAATATCTGTACAGCGAAGAGGCAATTATGCTATCCCGGTGAGCCAGAAAACGACAGATAAGGCATTCGTGTACGTGCCTGGATAGACACACGATCACACGGCAGGAATTTTTGGGTGCAATATACAAGCTGTATATAGATATATATACGTAATAAAAATATAAATATCGCGAGTATCAGTGCTGTAATAGTCGCGAGTGTCGCCCGGAACAGCAGCAACAGCAACAGCAGCAGCGGAAATGGGCGAGGTAGAGACGATCGCCCTGCTGAGATCCGAGATCGAGCGGTTGACGCGCGAGCTCGATGTCACCTCCACGGAGAAGGTCCAGTCGGCCCAGTACGGCCTGGCCCTGCTCTCCGAGAAGGGCATACTGCAGGAGAGGTGCAACGAGCTCGAGCACCTCTACGAGAGCACCAAGCACGAGCTCGACATCACGCAGGAGGTGAGTTTTCCATATACCTGTTGTTGTTGTTGTTGTTGTTGTACTTTTTTTCTGCTCTGATGACATTTGGTGTCGCTGCTGCAATTTAACAGAAAAAAAAATTAAATAAAAAGTAAAGACAGAGAGAGACAAGAGAAGTAAAACATCGCATAGATAGTTGTAATTGACAATTTGGTTCAAATGTTTAATTGTTCTACGTGTTTCAGACATAAAAAAGTATCATAGTTTTTTTCCTCGTTTTTTTCTTTAATTACCAAAGACAAACAAAGTTTCACAATTACACTCGCTTTGCAAAACATGTTGCGTTGCTCAATGATAATCAAAATGAAAATAATTTGTTTCAGGCATTGGCAAAATTTCAAACAACTACAAAATTGACAACGCGCAGTGGCATTGAACAGGAGGAAAGTTTGCTCAGTGAAAGTGCAGCGAGAGAAACAAGTTTACAAACACAAATCATTGACTTGGAGAATGAAGTTAAACAGGTAAGCGATTGCTTAATTTTATACAGGTTTTACAAATATGTACAACCCCTAAATTAAATTAATTCATTTCCTGTAGCTTCACCAAGAGTTGGAACGGGTGACTTCTGAACGAGATCTTGCATTCAGAGAGAAGGACAAATTAAGCGATGAGTGCTCAAAAGCAAAAACTGACCGCCTTCATTTATCGAGTGAGCTGAAAGAAACTGTTGCTAGGGAGCAACGATTATTAGGAGAATTGCATGAACTCGATGAGGATTATACATCTCTTCACAAGACATTATCAACTATGCAACAGAGTTTGTCAGAATTTGAGGTTGCCAAACATGAAGTTGGAAGATTGACAGAGGAAGTTGAATATCTCAACAGCCAAGTAGAAGAGTTGACAAACTTGAAGCAAATCGCTGATAGGCAAATGGAAGAAGCAATAGAATCTTTACAAGCTGAAAGAGAAGCCAAAAATATGCTCAAAAAAGAACTTGATCACAAAATGAATAGTGAATCGCACTACAACTTAAGCAATCTTCTCTCAATTCATGGTATGCCCAATGATAATACCATGGGCAGTGACTGTGAAGATGATTCTTCAGTTTTGAGAAGAATAGAAGAAGATTTAAAATCACATGAACCTGGAACGTCAGCACCTTCTAAACCGGTAAAATAATTATTTGTAGAAAACTTTTTTTTAATGTTATTTGAAAAATGTTTATTGAAATTAACTTTTAATTATGTAGGTTGATTTATTCTCTGAGATCCATTTGAATGAATTGAAAAAACTTGAAAAACAACTTGAAGCTGCAGAAGCAGAAAAACTTATACTCTCTCAAAACTTGAAAGAGTCACAGTCATCTGTTGATAAGAGTCAAGCAGAATTAGAAAATTTTACAGCGCGTATTATTCAATTAGATTCTCATGTGAAAACTTTACAACATATTTACTCAAAATTGCCTGAACAGCAAAAGAGTAATACTTTGGAAAAACTTGACTTGGTAAAAAACTTATCTTTATATTTAATATGTTTTCCTTCTTAAAAATAAATTCCATTTTTATGTTTAAAAGGCTATTGTACAATATCGCCAATGGAGTGAGATGTCTGCTCAAGAAGTCCAAGAACTTCAGAACAATTTGAATGATATTGAAAAAGGGCTTAGAATTTCCGATTCTACTCAACATTTGAAAACAGAACTCACTAATTTACGTAACAAGGTAAATTATGAAATTTTATTTTTTGCACGAATTTTAAGGTGAAAGATCTAATTGTTTTAAAATTACTTTTGTTGATTCTTTGAGGAATCATTAGTAATTTAACGAAATATACAAAATAAGTAGCAATGTTTTACATTAGCATACTATGTTAAATTTAATGAAAGTCACAATTTTTGGAGCAACATACATATGTTGACGCAAAAGTTGAATAGAATTGTGACATTTTCAGATACCTGTAACTAAGAAGAGTCTTCAGGAAAAGGTTGGGGCGTATGGTCTTGTTTACGTATTTACTGATTTGTTAATATGACTTTATCCCTTTATTAAGAACTCTTGCAGCTTAATAATATTGTAATAAAGCCTCCACAAATGGGTTATTTCAAAATAATCAGAATGATTAATGTACTGATGACATTTGAAATATCCTACGATGCTTTGACTAACTTGACTTAATTTCAAATTAACGATACAGAAAATGAGATCAAATTAATTTAATTGTAATAAATGTAACTTGTGTCAGTAAAATTTGGGTTCCTCTTCATCAGTAAACGATCATTGATCTCACTTTTTTTTCAAAAAAGCATGATGAGTTGTGATAAAACTTGCATGGTAAAATATATAAATATATTTATTAAATATTCAACAATTATAATTAACATATTATATACGTGCCCAGTGCAGTGCTTCAAAAGTTTAATCATATATGTACCAAGTATCTGAATACTTCACGATAATTATTTTTCGTGTAAAATTGTAGCCTTTCAAGCCAATTAATAATATAAAATATTTATTACCAAAAGGCTACTCAACTTTTGTAATACCAATGTAAACAACTTTTTTAACAATCTTGCATTATTCCAGCTTCTGGACACAGAACAAAGAAGTATGCTGCTAGAATCAGATGTCAATACATTGTCAAAACTCGCTGCAGAAGCTGGAAGTTCTCTTGAATCAGCACAAAATGATCTTCAAAACATTTCAGATGAAATATCACAGCTTTATCACCACGTTTGTACAGTAAATGGAAAAACACCAGCACAGGTATGTGATGAGACTATCAGTTTTCAATATTGAGCTCTGTTTTAACGTTCTTTTCATTTTAAAAGGTCATACTGGATCATGAAAAAACTATCCCTGGATCTGGAGAAGAAAACAATCAAATTGAATGGTGCAGAACTTTGTTCAAAACAGATATCAAAATTAAAGATCTCGAGAGTCTTAGTAAAGCAAATGAAATTAATAAGAGCATCGCAACAACTACAGATCAAATCAAGTACTTGAAAAAAGCTGTAGAGCACACTATTGAGCTATCTAAAGCTAATGGTATTAGAACTGGAATGTGCAGCACTTGTGAAGGTATAGGAATAATTTTTTTATTTTATTTCTGCGGGAAAATTTACTCTTAAGCTTGAAGATCATATTTTTAATGTATAATGTTTTCGTTGCAGCTTCTGAGAATGGCAATAAGGAAATAGCAGATCTTCAAGAGCAAGTCATCCGATTGAAATCGTTGCTATCTGCGAAACGAGAACAAATAGCAACTCTGAGAACAGTATTGAAATCCAATAAGAATACCGCCGAAGTGGCGTTAAGCAATCTCAAGAGCAAATACGAAAATGAAAAGACCATTGTGAACGAGACGATGGTCAAGTTGAGAAACGAGCTTAGGACATTGAAAGAGAACGCAGCCACCTTTTCGAGTGAGTATTATGTTTCTTTCAACTCTTTGAATCATATCAAAATTTTAAAATTGAAAATCAGTCTTGTCCCTATTTGCTTCACCATCGTTAAGAATGAATATAAAATCTTCGTTCAACTTTTGGAAACATTTTATTTGAATCGGAGCTAGCAAGCATACAGAAAGTTTTTTTCATTCATGCACATTCTAATTGATTATTTTTATTTTTCTCCCTTCTTTCACTCTAACACCATCCATCACACGATTAGTTCCCTTGTCATCAGTAGTTAAAAACGTCCGATTAACATTTGTTCACTTCTTTTTGCTACTAATCAGCTTGTTCTCGATCTATTTACATTTTTCCTCGCTCAAAGTATTATCCATAGATATATTATCCAACTGCCCTATAACTTATGTATTCTCATCACTAGTCTCACTAGTCTAAAGTAGAAAAATAATATCTCTCCTTGCCATCGCTAAATCCTTCATCTAGTCTGACTATAAAATAAAATAATATAAAATCAAAAATTCATCGTTATCATCATTCGTTAATTCTTATCTCTGTCTTAACAAATTAAAACCAAACGAAAACCCCCCTATGTATGTCTTACACAGGTCTGCGAGCCATGTTCGCGGCGCGCTGCGAGGAGAACGCGACCCGCGAGCTCGAGCTGCAGCACCAGCTGGCCGTCGCCGAGGAGGACCGCAAGACCCTGAACCAGCTGCTGCGACTCGCGGTCGAGCAGAAGCTCCACCTGACGATGAAGGTCGAGGAGCTGGAGGTCGACCGGGAGATGCGCAGCACGAGACGCCACCCGAACAGCGGCACCGGAGGCGGTGGCGCGGGTGGTGGCGGCGGCGGAGGAGTCGGAGTCGGAGGAGCAGGCGGAGGCGGAGGCGGCGGTGGCAACGCCGTGGGCAACGGCAGCCGTGGCCGAGGCGGCCGCCTCAATCACTATCAGAACCGTCCCAATCAGGGTAGAGACTTTTTCTAGAAAATAATCAAGATGTGGAGCAAGACGATGTACTACCGACAGCAGCAGCAGCAGCAACGATCCGGTAAGCCGGACGCGGCGCCCCAGCCAGAGAGATATTAATATAAATAACACGATATCGTCTCTCTGCTCCACGTCGTGCAATATCACACTTTTTTCTCTCTCTCACTCTCTCTTTCTCTCTGCCTCTTGTTAAATACGATGGCATCGGGGAGGGAATTTCTCCGATGCCCAAGTCCATTTACTCGAAATAATATTATATACTTATTTATATATTACATATTATATATAATAAAAATAGTTTCGCGAGCGCCCACGTGGGTGTCGGACGTGCGATGTGAAACATTTTTTTAGATCGTTTTGAAGTGCACTCTGCGCGAATGTGAGATTTTTTAAACACGATGACTGTGCGGTAGAAATGAATTGAAACGAGAAATTTTTAAAAACTTATGCTCTTATTATGTATGATTACGCAGCGATTATTATGTTATTTATTTACAGTTATGAAATCAAAGAGAGATAGTATTCCGTTCCAGTTGTATTTTTTTTTTTTTTTCTATGAAACTTTTTTATTTTTATACTTTCTTGTGTCTACTTTTCGATTAGAGATTCATTGTTTCAGTTTCGAGTGACGTAATAATACGAATCTGTCAATTAAAGAATTAGCTGCGAGCGAAATTGGGCAATGAAATCTTACCGCAAAGTATTCGCAAGTTGCGATTTGTGCTCTTATTCGATTCGATTATACCAATGAAAAACTCAGATATACACACATATATTTTTTATAAATTATCAAATGAATTCATTAAATCTGCCTTGTAAAATATTTTATTTATACATAAGGCTGGCAGCTACACTAACATTGTATAATCAATTTTAAGTATGTTATAATTTTTACGCATTAAGTTTCAATCGATCACGATAATGATTTTGATTAGTGCAAAAGTATACTTGTATACATGTTAATACACGAGACATCCGAATGGTCCCTCTGCACGCGAAATTTGCCAAATGTCAGGGCTAATCGATAGCGAGTGAGAGACCAGTACATAAAGAGAATTATAAAAGAGAATAAGCGAATCGACTGCCGATCGTTAAAAGAAATCGCGCAGAATTATTTTTCATCGATGCCAATATTTAACTGTTGAGTATGTTTATATATTGACGAGGAATAACTCTTTTCTACGATGTATAATATCGAGATATCTCCGCTCCTACGGTACTCTGTAGCCAACGAAACATTTTTTATATAGTATGTATAACGATTGTAGCGAAGAATAGAAATCATGATAGATTTAGTGACGTCCCGAAATAACTTCGATTTAGGTGATGAAAACGGTAGGCGGAGATATGCTTTTTGTCCATTTTGAAAAAAAAAACCGAGCCTCTTGCATAAGCACCGTCCCTTGTCCTTCCTTCGTATATCATCGTACATGAGCCTGGAGCTAAAATTCAACTATGTCATTCGTTTTTTCCTAATATATTGTTAACTCACGTTTTCTCTTGATAATGTTATTGACGATGATCTGAATGTTGAATGTTCGTAAAACGAATTACTTTGTATAAGTGTGAGCAGTGATATTCGTCCATTCTTGTATAAGCTTAGGCTTTGTTATATTGTTCTATTGGTTCTACTTTTAAGTCAATGTCCAAAATTGTTGAATGTTAATCAAAGTAACTCTGATTACGTCCATAACGATGTTCCTTTGAGCAAATCTTAAATATATGATGATTTTTACACTTTATTATGCATGTTCATGCATGCAATGCTCCGTATATGGTTGAATTCGGATAACTTGACGTTCTCATTAGCTCCGACGATGGTGTGCGGTTTAGTTTATATAATTAGGATATACTACAAATTCTTCGACAAAAAATATATAATATATTTACAAAAAAAAATTTTTAGTTATTAGTGGCAGAACTATATGTATCAAAAGAATTTCTCGCTTCTTTATGACTGTTATTTATAACTAACTTCAGTTTCAGTTAATGTAAGTAGCATTTACGAGCAAAAGAATTTTTTTCGCATCACATCTACGTTTTTGGAAAATTTATCGTATAGTTCTATACTAATTGTATAATTGTTCTGTACGTTTTCGTGTGATTTTATTAAGTGCAATTCTGTTAAATTAAAAATATCTATTATTTATGTTAAGAAAAATATACACTGCAAAACGTGATAATTCCAATCACTTTTTTCTAGCTTTATATATTATCGGCAATAACGAATGCAATTTTATAAAAGAGAATTAGTATGTGTAAGAAAATTTTTTTTTTGAAGCAACAAGAGCTTTGCAATGAAAAAAAAAGATTGTTTAGTGTACAACTATTGGAGAAAAATTGTAAATAATGTAAATGAGCTACGTCAATGACCTAGCTAGTATCATATTGACTAGAAGATTTTTGTCCATGTAAGAATGACTGAAAAAAAAACTGAAAAAAAAAATATATTTAATTAAACAATGCATAATGTATCTATTGCAATCTACGATACTTTGACTTGTGTATAACTTGTTTTTGTTAGTAATGAATTTATAATGAATTTTAATTTTTCATTAACAACGATGATCTTTTTAGAAAATGTTCACTGGTACATGTGTAAATACGAAAATTATCGACGATATTTTGTAAATCCATGTGTATTTTTGAGCGTTTTCTAATAATCGCACGATTTTTTGTTATTTAACGTAATCGAAAAAATCAAAATGATGAAATTACAAAACGATGTTATTATAATGATACGATTATTGATTTTGTAAATTGAAAAAAAAAAAATTAATAATAATACGCAACTTATTAAATCAAGCGTCATTCATTCACATTTCCTAATTCGGTCAAGTCAATGCCGCAGTGTTTTTTTTTTTTATTAAATTTCAAGGCAAGTGAAAGCTCATTTCGAAAGTTGAATAGCATTATAAAGCCATGATCGATCCACTTTGCATCGGGCGTTGTATGTACCGCCTATTGGCTGTCACGCTGGAAAATATTATAATCATAAGAGTACGAACGTCATCTGCTACTACACGACTTATTATAGGTTAGCAACACTATATATGTGAAAAAGGAGTCAACTATGATGTGCCGACGATCGTGACAGCTCGACTATTTTTTTTCTACCGCTGCACACTGAATTAGTTACCGTGAGCGGTGGACGTGTGCACAATCGGAATAACTCTATTTTTCTCGGTGATAAAATTCAAGTGTCGCCGAGGCACAATAATCACGACGAAGTTTCATACCGTAAGAGTCGTCAAAATATTGACACAGTTGGTTAGCTTAAAATTGCGTTGTGTGTACACAACAATGAGTGTTAGAGACTTTTAAATTTTTTCTCTGTGTTTTTATTTCTTACAGGCTGGATGACACCAAAGTAAATTGTGTTCGACGATATCTCGCTACCCTACTGTGTTTGAGGCAGCAGAAAGGATATTGGATGAAATATGCTACTGAGAAGTACAAGGTTAATTTGTCAGAAAAGTATATGTCATCTTGAAAGATCAACCAAATAGAATAAGTTAATTTATTATTGATTAATTCTAAGATCAAACAATTGAATGTTTTGAAGAAGTATATTACTATTAAAACTAGTTTATTGTTAGTGTTTAGTGTCTAGTCAAAGTGCTCTTTCATGATAGTTACTTGTTGTATAGAATTGTTTCAACATGGTCAAAGTAACTAATTTAAAAATCAAATTATTAGCTTTAGTGTTTGCTATAATATTCTGTTTACAAATTTTCAAACTATGGTCATTTTACCATGAAAAAGTAGAAGCAGAAAGAGTATATGAAAGGATCAAGACGCAGAAAGTTCTTGTGAAGGTTTATTATGAAGCTTTGTGCTCAGATTCAAGAAACTTTATTATTAAGCAATTGCTTCCAACTTATAACACAATTGAAAATTACATGGATGTACAGTTAATTCCCTACGGTAAAGCAGAAACAATTGTTACCAATGACGATTATGTGTTCAAGTGTCAACACGGAGAGCCCGAATGCCAAGCTAATATAATTCATGCCTGCTCAATTCATTTTGTCCACGATCCCAGAAAGCAGTTGGAACTGATATCATGCATGATCAAAAACAACATGTATCCAATGTCCATTCTGAAGAGTTGCGCCGAACACATGAAAGAATACAAGGCCATATTGGACTGCTCGATTTCAATAGAAGGTAGAAGATTGCTGATGAAGTACGGAGAGATGACAAATGAATTGAGTCCCAAGGTTGACTTTATACCTACAATTACTCTCGATAACGATCACGACAATCAAATTCTCATATTGAAAAATTTGATGAGACAAGTTTGTCAGAGAATTAAGGAGCCGCCAAGAGAGTGCGTGAGCTAAAGATTTTCACTCCAACATTCCACTGTAACTTCCTCAGAAAACCGATCCATTTTTATATTTTTTTAATGATCTACTTTTGTTTTTCTTCGAGTTGTCAATGTAATAAGTAATTTTTACTTTTATATGAAAAAAAAAAATCCTTGATCAAGGTAATCGCCACAAAACTTAAACTATTATATTCTATTTTATACCGAAGATTTAAAAATTTCTTCAAAGTCGTCGTTGTGCAGCTAACAACAAATCGCAGCTAAAAAAATGTACATAAACAAATCAATTCTCTCACCAACTACAAGTGTATATTGGTAAAATTTAAAGCTAATCAAACTCGTTATCATTTTGACGAATAAATTTCACAAATGTTAAAGAAAAATAAAAACGCATTTGTTCTTTTCTTCATCCACGAATCCACACGTCGAAGATATAAAAATGATCCTCCATGCGTCGAGTCGGGTCTCGGGCCATTTGCCCCGGCATGGAGTTTGAATTTATTCGCTGTAATCGCGTTCCAGATCACGTCGTCCGATACACGTATGCGGATGGATTTATGCGTGTTACATCGGTCTCGGTGCAGTGTCGCGCGCGGATATATTGCCGGGGATCGACGATCCGTTTGGAAACGTTACGCTCTCGTCCCTTGACAATTTTTTCCACGTAATATTTTTATACATCTCAAAAACGAAACCAATAATATACGAGAGCAATGGCTTCGTAGAGTTTGTTCAATAATTTACCTATACCTATATCGAGGAAAATCGAAGACAATCGCATCTTATCATACGCGCGCGTCTTTTAAGCGCAATAAATAAATCGTGCCCGAAAGCGGCGCGGCAGCTGCACAGCACGCAGCTATATATAAACGAGTACAATGATTTTTTGCCGCGAAATTTCCGCGCTCTCTGCGTAGCACGGCCAAATCGATAATATACATATCGTGTAATAAACAAACGTGTCCGAGATCGCCTCACAAAGAGTCTCGGATAATCGCTCGCGAGATGCATCCATCTATCTCCGTCTTTCTCTCTCTCTCTCTCTCTCTCTCTCTGCATAATAAAATTTTCGGTGTAGTCGCGCGAATACCTCGAGACGTTTTGTCGAGGGAATCGTCGAGATTTCTTGGCCCCGAGCCAGTGTAATAGCGGCGCGCGTGTACACGTTTCCGCGAAGCTCAAGTTCAGATTATAACAATCTCTGCGCTGTGGGCTGTGTGCTTCAATAGCCCTGGATCTCGCGAAGATTCGGCTTGAATACGAGACGGAATATCTTCGATCGTTCATCGATTATCTCGCCCGCGAGTTAGCACCGCTTAAAAGATTATAATTATTATATATAAATGAATCGAAAATCACTCGACGTCGTATCGAAATTCTCCGACGTGCCACATGGTGTGTGCAAGCTCTCTCGAGAGAGCTCCGCACACGTAGCGCACAGCGCGCGAAGTTATTTTTAAAAAAAGCTCGAGGTATGTGTGTACCGTATACGCGTACGCGCTTTTAACCTTGCCCCCTCCTCCCGCGCGTACGTATATTATTTACTCGTACGAAGTAATATGCGCTTCTACCGATCTCGCACGCGGCATAGATTCGAAAGTCGTGAGCTTTTATATCGTGTACGGACGCCGTTTCAAATTTCTTATATACTTTTTCGAGCATAATTGGGTCGGCCTGCAAGAGACGCTCAATCAGTCCCCGATTTTTTCAATTACAGGATGAATCGTACGACGTAGAAGCTCGAATGAATAAGCTCGCTCGTATAAGTATATATATGCTTGTATATTTACGTTCCGAGCGTCGTAAAAACTGGAACGCGAGAAATCACGGTCAGCTTTGACTTATATAGCCATACCGAAATTTCCGCGCGGGAGAAATGTGTGTGTGTTCACGATGATGATGATGATGAGAAAGCTCGAGTCGCGCGTATAAAGTTGCGTAAGCTTGTAATATTCTAACGCCGTGTTACGCGTTATATTTTTACGCGTCGTCTAATCATCAATCAGAGAGAGAGAGAGAGAGAGATACGTTCAAGGTTGCGCAGATCTTGCCCATTGTGGAGCTTACACGCTCTATATTTTACTTTCCTATGTGTCTGCGATCTACTTTCGAATTTGCCCCGTTGTCATTAAATTTGCGACATTTCCTTTTCATTTTTACATTCTACTCGTGAAAATGTGTATACTTTTATTTTTACAACGATTATCTCGCCCGGGTGTGTAAATTAAATTCTCAATTGACCTATTCGAGTGGCATCTCGAAACGAAAGAAAGAGAAGGAAAAGGAAAGAAAGAAAGTCCAATCAGCTCCATAAGAGACCCTTAAAAACTCTCTCAATCGAATATTTCTTTTTTTTTCTTGAACCTTTGATGCCAGTATAACGTATATATATCGATCCGATCGTGAGAGATTTTCTATATACGCGCGTTTTTCATAACTTTTCGTTCGCCCCTATGTAACGGCGATCTTATAAGGCGATGATTTTCACCTTGACACGTGCGTATAGTTGAGGCGAGAAACTTGATAAGTAGAGGATGTGTTGCCGAGATTCCGCGAACATCAATTAACGATCGAAGTATTAAATGTTTTTGGGGCTGAATTGTCGAAAATTATCGATCGTGCCTGGTTTTCGTCTAGCAAAGCTAATTTTTGAGCCTTTTTAGCTTTGATGAATTTCGTTGCGGTGGTCTCTTCAAAATTGGACGTAAAATTATATCATTAAAATTTGTAATTTATATTAAAATTTTGTGGAATACTCGCGCATCGATTATAAAGGACGAGCCGCTAAAAATTGCATTGAAGCTCTCGATTTCATTCATTTATTTTTTTCTTCATTTTAAAGTAAAACGTCAGAAGTGTTGGGTAGTAGAAGAAGCCCGTGGAAAACGAGCGAGCGCAAATACTAGAATGACAAATTCCACAGAATCACAATAGACGGAGTCTCAATCTACTCGCTCGCTTGTTGTGCATGTTCGAGCGAGTTACTCGACATTTCTTTAGAGAATATAGTTTCGCCCGTACACACAGCAGAAAACAAAGAAACATCGCGTGAACTGCAGCAAGTGATTTTTCTGCAAAATTGTGAAAAATAGTTTATATTATGAACGATTGCGTTTGTGCGTGAGCGCGTAGAACAATGGCTCAAGAAAACCAAATCGACGGAAAGAGTCACGAATTTCTTCGTCAACTTTATTCCTTTATCAGCGATTACGAGGGCCAACTTCCTAACCTCCGAGACATCTTTCGGCCCGAAGCTGTCGATTGGCTCGTCACGCGGTCCGTGAAAGACTCTTACGAAAACCAACACGATGAACCCAACCCCATCGTCGACTTTGTGATCAACAGCGGCTACAAAGACGAGCCCAAAGTCGATGAACATGGAAATCCACGATTGCGTCGCCCCACAGCAGTACATCTTGTGTCTGAAAACAATTGGATGTACATCATCCCGGCTTTTCTACCTGATCTTTTTAAAATATACAACAGATTCGACGTGAACTACACCGACGAGAATGGATTCACGCATTTTCATGCGGCCTGCATGTTAGGCTGTACAGACGTGGTCAAAAAATTTCTCGATTTCGGGCAAGATCCCAATTGTCCCGCGCCAGAAATGGGTGATTCGCCGCTACATTTAGCCGTGGTTAATGACCGTATGGATGTGTTTAAACTGCTGCTGAGACGCAACGCCAATCCGAATCGAGCCAACAAGAATGGATTGACTCCTCTGCACTGTATTGTTACTTTTCAGAGTAGCAACAAGCGTGACTTTTTGGATGTATTCTTCAAGATCAATAAAGAAATAAATCAGCTGATAGAGGTTGACTCCCGGGACAAGGAGGGCCAGACACCACTGCAGTTAGCTGTGACAACAGTGTTACCACTTCATCAAGTAAGCATACTTTTGGATAATGGTGCTGATCTGTCCAGCTTCATTTTTCCCTCCAAGACTGACTTTGTCAAGGAACTGGATAATCTTAAATACGATCTTAATTCTATATTGGGTCAACTGTCTGGAGCCATGGCCATTGTCGAACAACTAGAGAAGAGAGGATACGAACTATCCCGAAGCGACGCCTTGACGATCATGACATTATTTAAGAAGTACAATTTGTTCGAAAAGTCGAAGGATAATGTAAAACATTGGCACAACAGCAAACGTTTCGTGATAGAAGCGAAAAAAGTATTAATAAAACCGAGCTTGTCGCTGTACGATTTGATCCGATTAAAACCCGAAGAGGCGGCAAAAATACTCACTTACATGGATTACTACGACTTGGCGAAATCGATCACATTGTGGAAGCTTTCCGCGAGAGAATCGACTACCGACGCTTGTGTCCGCTGTCTGTGCGAGAAATTATCGAGGGGATTTTTTCGTCGTTGGGCCCTGGATTCTTTCTTGGAGCTGACGGGCTACCAGTTGCCGATTCTTTGCTGTGAAATAATCATTGATAAACTAAAGAACCGAAATTTATGTAATATTTGCTTGGCAGCTGCTAGCCCCAACTTGTGATGGTGACAAAAATATTTGTAGTACTTTTTAATGTCTAATTGCATTCTAATTGTAGCAGATTTTTCATGTCATTCAGATACATAAATTTGAAAAAAAATTGAATTCATAAATTGGCCTAGATTAAAAATAAAAAGTTTTTTTAACTTCAATCATCGCATGGTAATACAATTATACAATTTTTTTTAAATAAAATCCAATAAAGATTTCGGTAAAATTTTTTCTCTCTATTACAAAATGCAACCACAGTCTTTGAAAAATAACAACTATTTCCTTTATGTTTTTTAAAATTATTGCTTCGGATCTTGATAATTTTGTCATCGCTTTTTTTGTCACTCATTATCATCTTAACGATTATAGAATCTTAAAAAAATTCCTTGTCTCGATTTCACTTCAGTTTTATTTTCTAAATTCTTTGATTCTTTTTTTCTATTAAAAATACGAGAAAAAAATAATTTTTTCATGACTACAATTATTCAGATTATTTAGTTTCAATAGACCGCCGACATTGTTGATTTCATTGGAGAATTATAGATTCCCTCCGCAGAAACTAGAGTTTTTCGTGGGTCATGATTTTCGAGCTTCCACATTGGTTCTGAACCCAAGCCTATAACCTGTGCGAACACGCACTGCATCGCGACGATACTTAGTTACGCGCCAATTTATACACTCTGCGGATCGAAGCGTGATACAAAGACAGTCCACTCCTCATAGTTCTCGCTCCTCGGTACACGTTACGACGTCGAAGTGTAAACAACCACACGGCAATCGACTCTCGTGAAAAAAGTAACATTCATTTTTAAATAAGTGTTTGTGTTTGTGCTTGTGTATATTAAGAACAAATATGACTCAAGAAAATCAAAACTGTTTGAACGAATTGAATGAGAAGGTTAATCGAGACTTCGATGAAAAGAGTCACGAATTTCTTCGTCAACTTTATCCCTTCGTCATAGATTATGAGGGCCAACTACCAAATCTCCGTGGCATTTTTCAGCCCGAAGCGCTCGAATGGCTTCGCTTGGAATATGCCAAGTCTAATCCTGTTAAATCTTACCGTAATTATGATGAATCGTCATATTTTGAAACGGCCTGCGATCAAATATGGTCGAAAGACGTAGTCGAAAAATTCCTCGATCTTGGGCAAGATCCCAATTATCGCAAGTCAGAAACGAGTTCCTCGCCTCTATACTTGGCTCTTTACAACAGCAATGAAAAAGTGTTCGAATTACTCCTCAGAAGAGGAGCCAATCCAAACTTGGTCGACCATAGAGGATGTACTATTCTGCACGATGTCGTTGATTATCAGAGATATCACAATGATGACTTCTTGGATATATTATTCAAAATCACCAAAGAAGTCGATCAGGTGGTAGAGGTCGATGCCCGTAACGAAGGGGACTTGACACCGCTGGAATTAGCTGTGTTGAATTTTTTGCCAGATGTGTTCGATGTTCTTTTGGATCATGGCGCTGATCTGTCCGACTTCGTTTTTCCTACCGAGAGCGACTTCGATGAGGAACTGAACTATCTCGAATTGAATTCTAATTTTCTCTTGACTCTAGCGTCTGGCATTCTAGCCGTTGTCGAGCGCCTGGAAAAAAGAGGATACGAGTTTGATCGAAGCGACGCAATGACAATCATGAAAGTGTTCAACAAGTATGGATGGCTGGGACAGCCTGAAGATATCGACGACGGTTGGTTTGACGACAAAGAGTTCGCGATAGAAGCCAAAAAATTAATAGTGATTCAAAATGATGATGAGAAGAAGGTAGCGACAGAAGCCGAAAATTCACTGAAACGTCCGAGTCTGTCGCTCTACGATTTGATTCGGTTACGACCCGAGGAAGCCGCGAAACTAATGACGTACGATGACTACTACGAGTTTGCGAGATCGAGAAAATTGTGGTGGCTCGGCGTCGACGATTTGCCACCCGAGGCTTGTTGCAGGCATTTGTACGAGCAAGTATCGAGAAGATTTTTCCGACGTTGGTCGTTGGATCCTTTCTTGGAGCTGACGAGCTACCGACTGCCCATTCTTTGTTGTGATTTGATCATCAAACAGTTGAAGAACGACGATTTGTGGCGTATTTGCTTGACGGCTACAGGCTAAAACCTCGTCATGGTCATTGGGAATTGCGCAGAATAATTTTAAATGTCTGGTTATTCCATGTTACAGACTCTTTGTATCATTCCATGTATGTACAGACAGTAATACAATTTTTTTCAATAAAATCTAATAAAAATTTCAATATAAAATTGTTCTTTCTATCTTTGTAACACAATTCTATATTTTCGAATTAAAAATTCGCAAGTATGTAAATGATCACTTTTAAATCACTTTTAATCTTACGAAAAATTGAGCATGTATCGGTAAGCAATTAAAGTCTTGAAAATCATGAATGAATGCGTTTTTATTTTTCAAATAATGCTTCGGATCTTAATTTCCGTCATCGCTTTTCTTTAACGCTCATTATTATCTTGACGACTCAAGAATCTTTTCCATCTATTGATTCATTATTTACAATTTTTTATAGCTTCTTTACTTCTCTCGTTTTCGTCTAAAAAAAAAGTGTATAATACGCAACAAGTGCGTGAAGCAGATGACTCACAGCAACGAGTATAGACCCATTAGTCATCATTCGTTTGTCTCTCTCGCTCTGCAGTGCGTGTTCGTGCGGGTTGCCCCATCAAACGTCCACCAATCCTCAACTCACTCGCACGTTTTTACACTATATAAGCCTACGTTGTAATAAATACGTATGGTCAGTGCAAGTTTATGACACCACTGCGTTGACAGAGAAAGATCACATCGACTGCAGACTTTTACAGATTTTTGTGAAAATAGTGAAAAATAGTTCATATTAAAAGCAATATTGTGTTTGTGTTAGTGTGTAGAACAATGGCGCAAGAAAATCCAAACTGTTCGAACAAATTAAATGAAAAAGATAGTGGAAAGATCGACGAAAAGAGTCACGAATTTCTTCGTAAACTTTATTATTTTATAGGAAATTATGAAGGTCAACTTCCTAACCTCAGAGACATTTTTCGGCCCGAAGCTGTCGAGTGGCTTCTCACGGAATCTGTCAAATCTGATACGTTGGTGCCAAGACCTCTCGTCAACTTTGTGGTCAACACCGGCTACAAAGACGAGCCTGACGTTGGCGAAGACGCCAAGCCATCAATGCGTCGCACCACACCGATACATCATGCGACTCGGAAGAATCGAGGATACTTGACTCCTGATCTTTTCAAAATTTACGACAGATGTGATGTCAATTACACAGACGAAGATGGATTGACGCATTTTCACGTGGTCTGCGAGTATGGCTGTGACGACATCGTCGAGAAATTTCTCGAACACGGAGTAGATCCCAATTTTCTCGAGCAAGGAACAGATTATTCTCCGCTGCACTTGGCTCTGATCAACGATAGCGAACAAGTGTTTAAATTGCTGCTGAGAAGCGGCGCAGATCCGAATCTAGCTAATGCAGAGGGATGTACTCCTCTGCATATGATTTGTCGGAATAAACACTACGATGAGTATGCGATTTGGTTGTTCGAAATGAGCCACGAAAAATATCATCCGATAAACGTTGGTGCCGTGGACAAGTCGGGTGATACCCCATTGCACTTGGCTGTGGCCGAAGGTCACTGCAAGGCGATCGAATTTCTACTGAAAGCAGGCCGCAACAGACGCGGAAGGATCGACTCCACTGCATGTTATTTGCAACAGAGACAAATACGACAACAATGTCGACGAGTGCCATGACTTGGCCGAGCTTTTTTTCGAGATAAACGACAAATTAAATCTACTTGTAAAGATCGATGCAAAAGACCAGAAGGGCCGGACTCCGTTGCAATTGGCCGTGATGAATCTTTTGCCGGATGAAGTCGATATACTTTTGAATCGTGGGGCTGATCTGTCCAGCTTCGTTTTTCCTACTGAAAATTCCTTTTCAGTCGATTCAGACAAGACACTAAATTGGATGAAGGACTGTAAAATTTCGCTTAATTATAAATTGAGCATATACGTCTGGCGCTTTGGGTGTCGTCAGGCAACTCGAAAAAAGAGATTACAAATTGAAACGAAAAGAAGCCTTATCGTTTATGACATTATTCGATAAGTACGGTTTGTTCGAGAAGTCGGAGGATTTTGAAGAATATTTATTCGACGATGAGGAGTTTTTGATAAAAGCAAAAAAAATAATGATTAGTTCGAGCCTTTCGCTCTACGATTTGATCTGGTTAGGATCCAAAGAGATGCCAAAAATACTCACAACTGAAGACTACTTCAAATTTTGGCGCTCGAAAGAATTGTGGGAGGTCTCCGACGGACCTACCAGTGACGCTTGTATTGTGCACTTGTCTGAGAAAATATCGAGAGGATTTTTCCGGCGCTGGGCAGTGGATAGTTTCATGGAGCTGACACACTATAAACTGCCGATTCTCTGTTCTAAAATGATCATCGAGCAGCTGAAGAACGAAGATTTGTGGAAAATTAGCCTGGCAGCTGCAGGCCAAAGTTTATGATAAATTTATTCGATGTATTTTCAAATGTCTTATATTTTATTGAATTTCGCTTATTTTCCTAGGCGATCAAATAAATAAATAAATAATTAAACAGATTTGAAAAAAGTCTCTTGTGTGTTTATTTGATCTTTTTAATCAAACCATCGTATAGCATTAGAATTTTTCAGTTGACTTTTTTCTCGTCACGCTTAAATCAAAAATTCGGAAGTTTATCTTTAAGATAGGTCAGTATATTAATGCTCCCTTTCATCTTTCATAATCATAAATATGACTATTTATTTTTTAGTTCACAATCGTTACAATTGCACTAAATAACTGTTTTATCACTTTTTACAAAATCATTGACAGTCTATGATTTCATTCAGAGCAGAGTTGGAACACGGTAATATCAAAATACGTTAAAAATGTCGATTAAATCACTTGTCGATGAAGAGAGTCAGGCGCCTGGTAGGTAGGCGCCTGAAATAATATAAACAATGAGAGTGAATAACATCTTTCACTCTTGTATACAAGTAACGATCGATTTATCAAAGTTCCTTGATAGCTCAGTGGATAGAGCATTCGCCGGTTGAAGGTATATTGTCGCTGGTTCGAGCCCGGCCCAAGTCAAGCTTTTCATCTCGCAGGAAAGGTTCAAAGGAGTCAATCCTTCTGAGTCGCCTCAAATTTGGATCGGCGCTTTCGTCATTGAGAGAAAGCGCCATCCCAAATTTGGTCCATTTGGAAGGGATATTCCTGACAACGTCATCACGTCGTCTATCTCGCAGGAAAGGTTCAAAGGAGTCAATCCTTCTGAGTCGCCTAAATTTGGATCGGTACCTACGTCTTTGAGAGGAGGTGCCGGTCTGAATTTAGTCAATTCGGAAGGGATATTCCCCAGTAGTGCAGCGAATACGGTCTAACTTGTACCAGCTGATGCTGTCTGTCGATGTCCGTCGCCCCAAAAAGGCACCAAGTCCTACTCTACGTTATTGTAATAACGCTAATTTTAAATCATTTGTAGCTTTGATGAATAATTCAATGCTAATGTGTATGCCTGTCGTTAGCAATAATCTGAAAGTAACATATAATAGAAGTAAGTTGTATCGTATAGAACTGCATTTATAGACCCGGAGAATTAATTTCGCGATGTGGATTAAAAAAAATACTTTTTTTCGAAATGTTTTTGACTTTTCGTTTTTTTAAAAATCAAAGATAGTTTTGTGGAATACCTGCGCACTGATTATGAAGAAAGAGCTGCTAAAGCTTCGAAGCCTCCCGATATTATTTTTTCTTTATTTTTCAAGTGGAATATCTTGCGAGAATCGTTACAACTTACATTACATACGAACACTCTTTCGCGCGCTGTGATAAGTCACTTCTGCTGCCGCCGACGCTCATGTCATTGCGTATGTAACCTCTAGGAATTACGAACAACGAAGCGTCGTTTTAGTGTTTCTCTGACTTTCTCTCGCGCTCGTTTGGCTCGCTCGTGCTGCAGTGCAAGTTAAATCGATCAGCTCACCGGTGCTTCCTCGCTACAGATATTTAAGAGTATTGTTTATAGTCAGTATACGTGACAACGCCGCTGAGGATACACTGGGCAAGATCGTCTTGACCGCAAAAAGTGATTATTGTGAAAACGCAATAGTTTTTAAAGATAAATTATTTTTCACTTTGTTTTGTGCGAGTGTGTAAGACAATGGCCCAAGTCCATGGAAACATCGAAGAAAAGAATCACGAATTTCTCCGTCATCTTTATTCTTCTATGAGAGATTATGAGGGCCAACTTCCTAACCTCAGAGACATTTTTCGTCCCGAAGCTATCGAATGGCTTCTTACGGACTGTGTTGTCAACTCCAAAGACTTTCTGTTCCATCGAAAAGCATTTATTAACTTTGTGATTGACCGGATACAAAGACGAACCCAACCTCGATGAAGACGGCAAACCATCAATGCGTCGCACCACACCAATTCATCATGCGAATAGAAATTATTCAAAAAGTTACTTCGTCTATAATCTTTTTAAAATATACGACAAATTCGATGTGAATTACACCGACGAAGATGGATTAACGCATTTTCATTCAGCCTGTCAGAATGGCTGTACTGACGTGGTCGAAAAATTTCTCGATTTCGGGCAAGATCCTAATTTTCTGGTGCCAAAAACAAGTGATTCGCCGTCATACTTGGCTCTGAGAAACGACAGGAAAGAAGTGTTCGAATTACTACTAAGAAGAGGCATAATTCATAAAGGATACACCATTCTGCATGATATTGTTATACATGAGAGTTATCACGATCATAAATTCTTGGATATATTCTTTAAAATCAACGAAGAAGTTGATCAGCGGGTAGAGATCGATGTCCGAGACAAGAAAGGCCAGACACCTCTGCAGTTAGCTGTGACAAAAATTTTACCACTCAAAGTTAGCACACTGTTAAATAATGGTGCCGGTCTGTCTAGTTTCGTTTTTCCCTCTGAGAGTGACTTCGTCGAGGCCCTGGAAGATAATGAATTTGATTTGGATTTTTCACTGAATCTACTGGCTGGAGCAATGGTCGCCGTTGAACAACTAGAGGATAAAGGATACGAACTGACCTGAAGGGACGCCTTAACGATCATGAAAATATTCGATACATACGGATGGATTGGGAGGTACGACGAATTTGACGAGGATTGGTATGACGATGAAGAGTTCGTGGTAGAATCCAAAAATGTAATGTTAAAACCGAGTCTGTCGCTGTACGATTTCACCCGGTTACGACCCGAAGAGGCGGCAAAAATACTCACTTACGTGGATTACTACGACTTGGCGAAATCGAGCACATTGTGGGAGCTTCCCGAGGGTCCGCCTGAGCCTTTTTTTGGGCACCTGGCCGAAAAATTGACGAGAAGATTTTTCCTTCGTTGGGCCCTGGATCCTTTCTTGGAGCTGACGAGCTATCAACTTCCGATTCTTTGTTGTGAAATGATCATTAAGCAACTTATGGACAAGGATTTATATCACATTTGTTTGGCGGCTACTGACCAAAGCTCGCGATAGCTATATGAACATATATTTGAAGTATTTTGCGATTTTCAGTGTGATTTCATATTACAGATTTTTCATTGAATTCAATTAAATAAATTTGGAAAAAAACATTACTTTAAATCTTTATTATATAGTTACAATTTACATACTTTGATAGCTTTTGTAAAACTTCTTTCGTTTTCTTCTTGAATGAGTACATTATAATATGCAATAAATGCGCGAAGCAGATGTCTCCCCTAAAAGTGGTTTTTGCTTAGATGAATCGATTTCGCGATTTAGATAAAAAAAAATAAATTTTTTTCAATTTTTTTTTATATTTGAATTTTTACGAACTTGAAGATAGTTTTGAGGAATACTTGTGCAGTGATTATAAAAGAGAAGCATGCGTAGCAGCCAACGTGCTTCGAAGCTCTCGATTGTAGATTTTTTTTTTAATGTATGCAAAACTCGTTTCTGCGCGTTGGGCTTGTGAGAAGTTGAACCGTGAAAAAAGCGAGGCAAAATATGAACTTAACCAAGTGTTTCGAGTACTGTGTTTGACCGAAGTTCCATAAGAGTGGTAATCAAGGCCTGGCGCAGCCGGCACTCATCTGTCTCTCTCGCGCTTCACATGCAGTACAGCCAGAGATGTGAATAGGTAGGTCATGATCTTAAGTGACAGTCGCAGGCCACGATATACTCTTTAACATGAGCTGATTGTCTTAAACGCCGCGCGCCCTATCTTTTATACAGCTCTGCTGCGCTGCATTGCGTGTTCCTGCGCGGGTTTCTCAGTCAAATGTTAAACGAATTCAATCACAGCTCACTCGCTATTAAATGTACATACAGTTTCGTGCTTATTTTTCCACTCCGACGCCGCCATCTAAACAGAGAAAGATCATATCGACCATAGCAGGTGATTTTTGTAAAAATAGTGAAAAATATTGTGATGGTGTTGTATAACGAAAAAAATCATAAGTCAACTGCCAAATCTTTGATGCGACATGATCATCAAGCAGCTAGAAAACGAAGATTTGTGGCGCATCTGCTTAGCGACTATGGGCCAAAGCTCATGACGACTATATTTTCTGTATTTTCAATATATTTCTTACTTTATTCAATATTATAGATTCTTCATGTCAATCGAATAAATCAATTGAAAAAAATTTAATAAACGAATTTGATAAGATTAAAAAAGAAATTCTGCGTTTATTTTGTTTTTTTACTTTATCTAATGGCAATACAT